TAACTGATAAAACTGACCAAAAATCAACTTTTAACTGATAAAACTGATCAAGATAAAACTGATCAAAAATCAACTTTTAACTTATAAAACTGACCAAAAATCAACTTTTAACTTATAAACCTGACCAAAAATAAACATTTAACTTATAAAACTGACCAAAAATCAACTTTAAACTGATAAAACTGATCAAAAATCAACTTTTAACTTAGAAAAATGACCAAAAATCAACTTTAAACTGATAAAACTGATCAAAAATCAATATTTAACCGATAAAACTGATCAAAAATCAACATTTAACTTATAAAACTGACCAAAAATCAACTTTTAACTTATAAAACTGACCAAAAATCAACTTTTAACTGATAAAACTGATCAAAAATCAACTTTTAACTGATAAAACTGACCAAAAATCAACTTTTAACTTAGAAAACTGACCAAAAATCAACTTTTAACTTAGAAAACTGACCAAAAATCAACTTTAAACTGATAAACCTGACCAAAAATAAACATTTAACTTATAAAACTGACCAAAAATCAACTTTAAACTGATAAAACTGATCAAAAATCAACATTTAACTGAAAAAACTGATCAAAAATCAACTTTAAACTGATAAAACTGATCAAAAATCAACATTTAACTGATAAAACTGACCAAAAATTAACTTTAAACTGATAAAACTGATCAAAAATCAACATTTAACTTAGAAAACTGACCAAAAATCAACATTTAACTGATAAAACTGACCAAAAATTAACTTTAAACTGATAAAACTGACCAAAAATCAACATTTAACTGATAAAACTGACCAAAAATCAACTTTAAACTGATAAAACTGACCAAAACTAAACTTTTAACTGATAATAAATGATAGAACACTTTTAGTTACGTAAACTAAGACTTTTGCAAAGACGCTACAATCATAAAACAACTTAGTCCAGAGTTGTCAACACTGTGCTGTTTTAGCTGTTCTTATATCAGCACCTTCGGCTGTTTTATGAAAAGGTGCTAGACTTTTGGTTTCTGCAGTTTTTACACTTTGATATTTAAAAATGTTGCTGCTTTATGAAACTTTTGCTACTTTTAGCTAGTCTTTCGGCTGCTTTAATTTTTTTGTTACTTTTAACTGACTTTCTATTTTATTTTTGTCAGTGTTGTTATGCCAGTTTCAGCTTCTTTAGCCGGTTTCAGCTTCTTTAGCTGGTTTCAGCTTCTTTAGCCAGTTTCAGCTTCTTTAGCTGGTTTCAGCTGCTGTTCCGTCTTCTGTAAACAAACTTCTTTATTTGAACTAAACTTCTGCTCCCTGCAGATAAAAACGGTTCTTGAGCTGAAGAACTCTGGTTTCTCCTCCAGAACCAGACCCAGTCCGGTTCTGTGGGGACCTCGGGTCCAGACCTCACCTTTTTGGCCTTGTTGATCATGGACCTGATCAGGTCTTTGATGTTGTGGGTCTTGTCCCTCTGGAAGTAGATCTGGGTCTCTGACGGGCCGAACCTCATGGGCGGTTCGGGCCAGCCCAGCTCCAGCATCGGCGGCTCCTCGTCGGACATCATGGGGAAGTAAGTCCCGGACGTGAGCTCGGACACGGCGTCCCCGTCCCCGAAGTCCCGCTCGGTGCCGGTACCGGAGTCCGAGCCGCAGGTTCTGCTGGAGCCGTGCTGGGTGATGTAGCGGACCTCCAGCGGGGACAGGAAGTTGAGCTCGCGCTCCTCGGCCAGCACGCGCCGGTACTCGGTCTCTCCGAGCTCCAGCAGCGCGTCCGTGGCCAGGCGGGCCGCCTCGTTGTGGCTCAGCTCCAGCGCGGAGCCCTGCCGCCACGGGTTCTTCACCTCCTCCAGCCGGGAGGCCAGCTTCCCCAGCGGCTTCCTGCCGGAGGAGCTCGGCCTCAAACCCTCGGAGCTCATCATGACTCGACCTCTGCTCGAAGGAACTACAACCGGAAACTACTCGGCTTCTGGAAACATCGATCAATCCGATTAATAATCCGGCTGCAGGTGAAAACTCCTCCTCGCGTCAAACTAATCCTCCTCGGCTCCGCATTAAAGGGACAGTTCGTCTGCTGACACGGTCCGGTCCGGTCCGGATGTGGTCCAGCTCCTCGGTGCTGTGTTGCAGGTGAGCGGGGCTCCTGCTCACCTGTTGCTCCTCTGCCCTCTCATTGGTCCCAGCGCGCAGACGCGCCACTCCGCCTCCTGCCGTTGTCAGGGGCAACCAGCTCACAACCAGAAGACGCATCCGGTCGGGAGTTTCAAAATAAAGCAAGCATGGCTAGAAATAATCTGAAAACATTCCAGCTGGAGTTGTTGCAGTGCGAGGACGTGCTTTTACTCTGAAAGTGTTCTTCCTGTCTTTCATTTGAACCATGACGAGTTTCTCTGATAAAACTTTATGCAAATGTTGACTTTCAGGAGGTACGACAGAGGGTTCTTCACATGTTTATATGTTTCATTTTGTAATTTGAGATTGACATTTGTTCTTTTGTTCAATAAAGTTTTTTTTTTAAAAAGTTTATCTGATAAAACTGAAGTTTTCCTGTGGATCTGGGACCTGTTAGCAGGTGTCCTCAGACCTCTGGAAACAGGACCCAGCACTTTGAGACCCCAAATAAAAGTTTTCTTGTCTGGTCTCACCTGATGGGGGCCATGGAAACCTCCCTGCGGTGCAGGGTCACAGGTCAGCTGCAGACCCAGTTCTCCTTCGGTTCCGTCAGGATGCACATCCCTTTGGGAATATTAACGAGCCCCGCCACATCGATGTCCTCTGAACATGTTCGAGTTTAATGTGACACTTTAACTGTTTTTATTTGTTTTTTAATATTTTCTGCAGCTGATTTGTTTCTCTTTTGAATCATTGTTTGATTATTTTGTGTATTTTTGCGGCTAATTTACTTCAGAAAACTCAGAAATGTTCCCAACTCACTGAAATGTACAGGAAATGAGCTAAATGTGGTGTGGTAGTAGCTGAGGGTCATCTCTAATCACCGTCAGATGACTTGAGGTCTGCTGTCGGATCTTCCACCGTCCATGGGGATAAATTGAGTTTAAATGGATCATATTTTTAAATTCAGAGTTTTTTCCTCACATGAACTGAATTATTTTAACCTCGTTGTGAATTAACTCGTCCTCGAGCAGCAAATGAAGATAATTACATCTGAGTGAGTTTGTCGTGATCGTTTTGCATCACTGTCACGTTATTTGACATCATTTGTCAAATGTTTCAGGATGTTTAACGTTTTCTTGTTCTCTGAGGTTATGTTTGTCGTCCTGGTTAATTCTCTCTTTGGGTTAATTTAATTGATTTTCGTTGTAAATTTTGTCATCGTTTTTTAGGCGGTCCGGGCGTTTGTGGCGTCTTACAAAAAGCAAACGTTATAAAACGTGATGTTTCTCTTTAGGTTCTTCTGTTAAAGAACAGCTGCTTCACAGGGAGCGAACGTTATTTTTATATTTTAGCTTCTGTGTTGATACGTGTGCAAAATTCACCTGCTGACTCAAAGAGCTGCAGCTTTGCTCTTGTGGGTTTTCTACACATCAGGACAAAAAAAACTTGCATTTCATAAATTTGTTTGAATCTTATTTCTATCAAAACAAAAACTGAAAGACATTGAGTGTTTTTTTCTGTACGGATGTTTGAATGAAACAAACTTTGTGCCAACAAGTTGAGAGACAAGCACTTGTTTCCTTTGAAATGGCACCAGGAGTTGAATCTCTCTCCAGGAAGTCATTCTTATCATAAATTATTCTTGTTGCCCTCAGACAATCAGGTTGCTCAGTGTGGACTTCAAAATGCCTCGTGATCTTCTGCTTCTTGGCTCCATGACAGTAAACGCTGCAGAATGAACTCGTTCGATTCGTGTGTGTCAGCGGGAGCGGTTGGATGAGATAAATCATAAAACTGAACTTTTACCACCAATAAAAGTGGAAACTGCCGGGATGACTCGGCGCTCAAGAGTCCCTAATCTGTGGAGAACATCCGGGAAGAGGTGAAGCTGACGTGTGAGTCAGTGTTTACCCAACAGGGAGGTGCGGGTGGTCAAACCAAACACCTTGGAGCTGCAGGAGCTTCACGCTCGCCTTTATTTGAATACGTCTCTGTGCTCGGGTCAGACTTTTCTGATTTGCATGCAGTCGGGGTCACGAGGCCTGCGGAGAGGAGCGGCAGGTTAACTGCTCAAACTGCAGCACGATGAGGCCCGGTTCTGAAGATGAAACCAAACCTGTTGCTGGCGCTCTGCCTTCCAGCTGTAAATGTAGGCCAGAGCCAGATTTAATGACACCGGAGGCGGTGACGCGGAGAAACGCTGCGTTTAACCCTCGACGGGGACCAAACGTGCACATCCTGCTTGTTTTAATTCTTATTAAATCAGTTTAAAGATTGGTTCATGAAACTTGGCCAGGATTTGCTTTTTAATTTTATTTTTTGAAATGTAATGACCCTCTGTTGCAAAGAAATAAAGAAAGTGCTATGTGTTATCATCTTTGTATGTTCTTATCCCCATGCTTGAATTATGGGCGCGACTTCCGGCAGACCAGAACCGACGATGAACAAGCTGAACAGCTCTGAGGTGGACCAGTGTCTCCACAGTAATAAGGTCGGCGGTGTTTTGTTAAAACAGGTGGGACACACTCTTATTGACCTTAAATCAGACACAGAGCTCAGAAAAAGTCTTAAAGTCCTCCATCACTGAGCTCGGGTTCATTACAGAGAAAATCATAAAACTGAAGATGAACAAATATATAAAGCTGTGACCTCCATACACCTGAAATCATCCCTGATGTTCTCGTCACTGTTTTCAATCCTTCTGAGGATCCGGCGTCTCTTCTCCGGTGGTTTATTGTCGTCCAGACACAAAGTAGGATGCAGGTTTTCCTCCGTCGGCCGTTTGTCAACAAAGTGAAATGAGCTCACATGCAGAGTTTAGGTGGTCTCTTCAAGTTCAGATGTTTCAGACACCCATCCATCCATCCATCTATTATCTTTACCCGTTTATTCCATTTTGGGTCACGGGGGTCGCTGGTGCCCATGTCCAGCAATCACTGTGCGAGGGGCGGGGTACACCCTGGACGGGTCGCAAGTCCATCACAGGGACACATAGAGACAAACAAGACAAACAACCATTCACTCTCTCACTCACACCTAGGGACAATTTAGAGTTACCAATCAGCCTAACATGCATGTTTTTGGTCTGTGGGAGGAAACCGGAGCACCCGGAGAAAACCCACGCATGCACGGAGAGAACATGCAAACTCCACCCAGAAAGGCCCCTGGACCGGGGTTTGAACCAAGGACCTGTTCGCTGAGAGGCAGCAGCTCTACCAGTTGCGCCACCGTGCTGCCCTGTTTCAGACACGTTCTTCTTAATTCTTCATCTGTAGGTAGGAGATGAAACTAAACCTGTTTTCACAGGAACTCTTTTTGTTGTGGGTCCATGTTCAAACTCTGTTGTTGTAGCCACTGATTTAGTTTGTTCTGGTTGTTCTGCAGCCCTGAACACAGCAGGTACCTGAATGCAGCACGGCTCTTTTAGTAAACTTTATGGTTGTTAAATAAATGTGAACAAAAACAATCAGTTTTATCTGTTAAACTGAATGTAAATTACTTTCAAATAAACTGCGGTCCATGCTCAGCTACCATGTTAACCAATGCTAACAGCTACTTCCTGTCTGACAGGAAGTTGTACCCAGGGTCATTTCCACAGCAGAGCCCCCAGGAATAATGTCGACACAACGATGAAATTAATTCTGTGCATTTAACCCATCACACCTGAGATGCACCCAGGTGGAGCAGTGGGCAGATATGTAAGAACCCGGGGAGCAATTAGGGATTAGGTGTCTTGCTCAAGGACACCACAACATGTGGGCATGGCAGGGAGTTGAACCTGTGACTTTCTGGTCCCAAGTCAGCTGCTCAACCTCTACCCCATTTAGACCCCAAGGTGTGTACGGGCTTCCCTGGGTCACCCTGAAGCTCACGGGCCAAGACCCCAAGGTTCCCAAACCAGGGTCCCCCCCCCAGGTCCTGTAAATGAAGACCATAAACTGGATCAGAGACCAGGAGCAGCCTGCACCAGGAAGAACTTTGTGTCCAGGATGTGGGTTCAGCTCTTGGTTTGCTCTACGGGACCGGACAGTCTTAAAACACTGAACCCGCTCCTTAGAGTCCCAGCTGGGTCAAAATGAAATCCATCAATCAATAAAATAGAATAAATAGATCAATAGTTCAATCTTACAGCGATGTAACAGTAATCTGATTTCGTTATCTCCAGACCAGCAGCTCATCAGTTCTGCTTCTTTCTAAAAGGACAAAGTTATTTTTATTTTTTCCATCAGTTCTTTTCATCCAAAGAGCTGCTGGTTCAAAAAAAGGTCAAACATGAAAAGAACAGAACAGGAACCAGTTGGACTTCTTGAGTTCTGGTTCAGTCACATGTTTGACCCGCGTCAGCTGACGTCACAAAGTCTGTCCAGGTTTCTGAACATTAATGTTTGTCAGGAACCTCTGAGTCACAGAACGTCTCCAACACGGTGAGAAACAACGAAACTGGAAACTCCTGAGGCTGAAGGAGATAAAAATACCTGCAGAAGATTTTCTGCTCCGGGCAGAGACGGAAACGAGGAAGTGGATCGACTGGATCCAGCAGCTCCGACACCAGCGTGTTCCCTGAACAGGTCAGACACCTGGAGTTTCACTGACAGTGAGAAAACCCAGAACAGCACTTACAGGTGATCTGTAAGTAATCTACAGGTGATCTGCAAGTAATCTACAGGTGATCTACATGTA